GCACAGGGGCGACTCTGGATATATCCAATGGACAGTTACACTTGATTTCTGATATGTGCTGTCGGCAGTACAAACCTGTAAAATCACTTTGGCCTCAATGTCGGAGCAAATACAAGCTATGCGGAGAGATATATCCTTTCTCAGACAAGACATGCAAAAGATAAGAGAGGGGGGTGACGGAGGCAGAGGATAGAATGAACAAGCTGGAGGATGTAAATATCTCTATCTAAATATATCTAAATATATGTGCCAATCTTAAAACGGCTTTGCACAAAGTTAGTGCTAACTCCTGTAAAATTGAAGAACTGTAAAATAGAGCAAGGTGCAAAGGTGCAATAATATCACATTGGTAGGAATACCTGACCAGGCTGAGGGGATAAATCCGGTGGCGTTTATGGAAAAGTGGATATTAGAGGCAATATTTCCTATTGTCTCTACTATCCACTTTTCCATAAACGCCACCAGATTTATCCCCTCAGCCCACATTTATCTCCTATGTTTATGATTGACAGAGTGCATAGAATACCTGCATGCATTTATGTACATGGGAATTTGAGGAGGACTATGTTGATTAGTGTGGCCAACTATAGAGATAAGGAGGTCATCCTCCTCAAAGTTCAGGAATTGGGAGCTGTATCTTTGGCAGGAGCGAGAGTGATGTTATTCTCAGACTTTTCACAAAAAAAAGGGCCCAATACCAGGATGTGAAAAAACGAATGCGACACCTGAAAATACAATATTCAGTGTATCTGTAAAAAATAAGTCAAGGCAACTGGACTTGCTGTATTTTTCTTGAAGATGTTTCACTGGTCATCCAACCAGCTTTCTCAATTCAGAATGACTTGTACAAAAAATTATCTGGGAATAAATATGGTGAATGTTGCATTTTTGGCAATAGCTCTGGGGAATAGGTTAGCTAAAGTTAATTAGAAAGTAATAGGCCTGGATCAAAGTGGATTTATGCGTAATAAATCAATGGCAGATAATGTGCAAAGGGTATATATAAATATGCAGGTTCCTTCAGAGTCAATGGGGAATAGAGCTTTATTATCCCTGGATATTGCTAAAGCTTTTGATAGCGTAGAGTGGGTTTATCTATGGGCAATATTAAGGGCATTTGGATTTGCTTCCCGGTATATTTCATATATTCAATTATTATACACTGAGAAAGGGCAGCAAGAATTCAAGTAAATAAGGCCTTAACTTCGGCCTTTAAACTGACAAGGGGAACTAGACAGGGGTGTCCCCTGTCTCCCCTTCTATTTGCATACCCTAAGGAGGGAGGCGTTGCTCTGAATTCAATTAGTCTCACCTTCTGCATCACATAAATTAAAGGAGAACTATGAGATGAGTGATTTCCACTCACCTCATAGTTCTAAGCCGACCTGTTACAATGAGACTTTCACAGGTCGGCTCAGTAGATCGGGAGGTGAGAGAACACATACCGGGTTCCCTCACCTCTCGATCCTGTTACAGCTTTCTGCCGTGACAGGGGGAGGGGCTGGATTCCCCTCTCCCCGCTCCGATTTGCCAGCGCTGACTGGCAGAACGGACGGGGGAGGGGGCGGGTACAGCTGGCTCTGCCTCTAGATAGGCAGAGCCAGCTGTCACTCACGCAGCTGGGCGGTCATCTACGTCGGGATCCGCTCCAGGTGCGGCGTCTCAGTATACCGCGAGTTGTAGCTCGCGGTATACTGAGCTTCGGGTAACGGGAGGACGCTAGTTTGTGTCCTCCCGTTACCCTAAGGAGAACTATGGGGAAAAACACTGACCCCATAGTTCTCCTTTAACACAACTTTATATTATACATAGAACATATCGGACCCCTTAATTGCCATATAAGATAGGACTCAGGGAAAACTCTAAATGCCCAAAATGTGGGTTTGAACCCGGTTCTTTGATACATCTGCTGTGGAGATGTCTGAAGCTGAAACGATACTGGCAAGAAATAGTGGACATAATAAATATAGCTGTTGGAGTTCATATTTCTAATAATCCAATGACATGTATTTTGGGTATTTTTGGATATTTAAATATGGAGTATTACATGAAGATGGCTATAATGAGGGCACTGTTTGTTGCTCGGCGTAGTATAGAGTCTAGGTGGATCTCAGCAACACCTCCCACCGTGGAGGAGGGGAAAAAAGAATTAGAGTGGTTGGATTTGAGGGAATCATGTTTAAACATAGAGGTAGCATGGATGAATACATTTCGTCTATAATGTGAGACCAATTTGCTACTGGCAATGTTGGAAGAAATGTAATTTATGTAAATTGGTACGATGTGAAATTGTATAATGTTGAGGTTTTTTTTGTGATGTTGTTTTTATGATGTATTTATGGGTGTAAAAATGTCTATGTAATGTTATAATAAAAAAATAAAAAAATGAAGTTAAAAAAAAAAAAAGAACAAATATCACCATTACCATATTATTGATTTATCCAGGGAGCTACTGTTCCTGTACTGTACAAAATAATCTGTACTGAACCTACAGCATTTTAAACAATCAACCTAAAGTCTGCTGCAATATTAGAGCTCTTATATTCGCCTCTCCAGTGGCCCATGTCTCCCACAATCCCTCCTACCTACCCTCTGTAGAAATCTTCAGCATTCAACGGTTTATGAAGTATTGGTTGCCTGTGTTGTCCACCGTACACTCTGGTTCCATCACCAACCTCTACATCACTTCTGAGTCTTGTAGAGACATAGGGACAGGAGGATGGAACTACGACAAGGGACACAAGCAACCTACATGCCCAGAAATATCAAATGACAGAGAGATTGCAGCGCTGGAATGGAGAGAAGGGGGAACACACAGGGCAGCTGAAGAATTTCAGCTTGATATTTTATTTGTCAGGGGCCCCATATACACCATGCAACATGTCAGAGGCCTCTATATACAGGCTAGCATGTCACTGGCCCCTATACACAGTGTACATAGTGCAGCATGTCAGGGGCCCCTATACACAGTGTACACAGTGCAGCATGTCAGGGGTTACTATCCACAGTGTACACAGTATAGCATGTCAGGGGTCCCTATACACAGCGTACACAGTTCAGCATGTCAGGGGTCCCTATACACAGTGCAGCATGTCTGTTCCCCAGAAGAGCGGGGGACCCCGAAAACCCCGGTGGTGGTGCAGGCTGACACAACCGCCACTGCTCGTTTGATAAAAGTGATCTGATCAAATCATTTGTATTAAACGAGCTGCGGCTCCCAGGGCCGGCCTTAGGGGTGTGCGAGCAGTGCGGCCGCACAGGGCGCCATGGCAACAAGGGCGCCGTGCGGCCGACACAACTCGTCCTGTGGGCGGCTTCTCTCCCCCTCACCGCTGGGCGCTGGCCATCCGATATGACGGGGGCACAGGAGGGAGCGCTGCCTGCTTCGATTTTGCGGGTGCGCGCAATTTTAAAGCATGACATGTTTGGTGTCTATTTACCCGACGTGACCCCGTCTTTTTATATTTTAGCAAAAATATGGGTGATAAATGGGTGCGGTTACTGGGGGTGTGGCCACTAAAGGGTGTGGCCACTGAGTGGTGTGGTCACTGAGGGGCGCTGTAAAGCTTTCTCGCACAGGGCGCCTAAAGGCCTAAGGCCGGCCCTGGCGGCTCCACGCTGTACATTTAGCTCTGCTTGTCCGGAGCAGGGCTAAATGTCCAAAAAAACGACTCGCTTGGCGCCCGAAACTGCATG